CTCTTCGTGTTTTTGTCGATGACTTATAACTAGAAGCACGATAGTTGTAAAAAAATATCTATTTGCCTGGATGTGACTTGTTCCCAGAGACGAAGGCTTCTGTGGGAGAGGAGACACTGGCAAAACCCTGGACATCCCAACACAACAGGTACGTCTACACATGTAGGCGTGTGTATCCGTTGCGCTTTCCCCGGCTTGGTGTTGGAGGAGGTCCACAGATTGTCAAAATTGAGTTGGTTATACGCTCGCATAATACGTTACGGGCTTCAGGACTTTGTCTATTACATGTGTACAACTGGGAAAACCCACTTCTTTCCAATTGGCCGAAATGCAACTTAACCTTCGTACATCCGCATTTTTCCACATTACATTAAATACATGGGAAGGACCTCTAATTCTTAGGAGCGGATTTCTAGTCTAGTCCTTACTCTGGCTGTATCCTGCTTCTAAGTCAGGGTTTGCTGGAGGCCATTTGAGATCTGAAGTTTTTTTTTTTTTTTTTTTTGTAACAAGTGTTGTATTCTAGGGTTCTCTTTTTCTGTTTAAGGTTACTAAACCTATAGTGGAAGGGATTTGAGGTCGGAAAAAATTAAAAATGGGCTAGTCTGTGGCTGTTATGTCTTAAAAATCTGTCTGGTTTTGTCAGGATAATTATAACTAAAGCACGAATAGTTTAAAAAAAATTATTATCTTTCCTGGATGTGACTTTTCACAGCAGAAAGGCCTAGTGAAGAGGAATAGGCAACCTGAAATCCCCAAACACCCAGGTATTACACATGTGGAGTGATGTATCGTTGGTCTTCCAGGTTGGTGTTGGAGGAGGTCCAACAGATTGTCCAAAATTGATGTTAGGTATACGCTCCATAATCACAGTTACTTTCTAGAAACCTTCAGGATTGTGTCTTTACATTGTACAACTGGAAACCCATTTTTCAAAATTGGCCGCACATGAAATTAAACTTCTACAGCATTTTCCACATACATAAATACATGTGGAAGGCACTTAATTCTATTACCAGGTTTCTAGTTAGCCTTACTCTGGCTGTACCACTTGCTCTCTAAGAGTATTGGGATTTCTTCTTTCATTTTGATTCTTTGATTTTTTTTTTCAGTCTCTTACTTTGCCTTTTTATATTAGATCACTAAATTTTCCTTATGATTTTGTATACAGCCCATCTCTGATGCTCCCCTTCCCCCAGTTCTTCTCTATTCTTGGTACAGAAGGACTGGGGAATCATATGTAGGAATATATATTATATTTACCTAGAAGACAAAAAGTTATCAGTGGTAACAGAGAGTAAAACTTTGAATGTGCAGGCCTAGACCTAGTATGTACCATATATATACACCCTGAAGGCCCTAGGAAAAGATTTAGATTCTTTTAGGGCTTTATCCCTGAGGGAGAGTGGGTGTGTGATGGGTATCTTCTGCCTTTATGGTTGAAGGGTCCATTGTAGCTTAGGATACCAGCTTCATTCATCTTCAATCTGTGTAGCCACAAAATAGCATCTGAATCCATGGCCTGACTTTGCAATTAGAGAAGGCATATTACCTCTCCTCTCTGCTCATATTCTCCAGACTTTAGGCAGATGCTTTCAACACCTTTGGTTATCTAGTATAAAGTCATGTGCATAAAAATCAGGGGTGAACCAACTCTCTTTCGGTTTAGGCTATGAGCAAATATTAACCTCTTAAAACTTGTTTCTGGATAGTCTCTGTCAGGTGTTCATTTCAAGATCCAATTTGATAGAGATTGTTATTGGAATTTTTTATTTTATTTTATTTTTTTCTGAGACAGAATCTTACTCTGTTGCAAGGCTGGAGTGCAGTGGTGCGATCTCGGCTCACTGTAATCTCCGCCTGCTGGGTTCAAGCAATTCTCTTGCCTCAGCCTCCGGAGTAGCTGGGACTACAGGCACGCGCCACCACACCTGGCTAATTTTTGTATTCTTAGTTGAAGGGGTGGCCTGCCCCTCCACACCTGTGGGTGTTTCTCGTTAGGTGGAACGAGAGACTTGAGAAAAGAAATAAGACACAGAGACAAAGTATAGAGAAAGAAAAGCGGCGCGGACCCAAGAGGACCGCGCGCCTCAGCCTTACAGAGGCACCCACTGCCGGGGCACCGCGGCTCTCTGAGTTCCCTTAGGATTTAATGATAATTTATCTTACCATCGCTAAAGACCAGGGGGAGTGGGCACAGAAATTAGATCAAAAGAAAAAAGAGGAAAATCGTCAGTACGACATATGAACAAAACTCCTGTGACATGAAAAGTTCAAAGAAAAATGCCCTGCTGCCCCTGAGATCCATATGCAACATCTTCCTTTAAACCTTTAGCGAGCATAGTTGTTCAGTCCTATCACCATGGGAGAAACCTTAACAATCCTACTTCCGTAGCCAGAGGTCCCATGCGACCTTTGGCCTGTACGTTGTCCCTGGTATTAAATTATAAGAGAATGGTGATAACTTAACCAGCAAGCTACCTTCAGGCATTTGTTTAACAAAGACACAATCCTGCACAGCCCAAAACTCCCATTAAACTTGAGCTCACCCAAGCACATGCCTCCTTTGCCAAAGACAGGTGGTAGGGTCCAGATTAATCAGCATCGTTCCAAATACAGAACAAATGAGTCTCCTTATGTCTACTTCTTTCTAATATAGAACACAGTAACAGGCTGTCTCTCTCCTTTTCCCACATTAGTAGAGACGAGATTCACCATGTTGGCCAGGATGGTCTTGATATCTTGATCTCATGATACGCCCCTTCAAGCCTCCCAAAGTGCTGGAATTACAGGTGTGGAGCCAGCGCCCAGCCATTATGGGATTTTTTAACTTCTTGGTTCTGCTATTAATTATAGTCAGAAGGGACTGCCTCTGGCAAAACTTTTTTGTCTTTAGTACATGTTTCCTGATTGTGACTGGTTTATAGATTAAGTGTATGACAAGTACACTTCATATCAGTCATCTCACAAAATTCTCAGAAAGTTAACATGATTTAAAATTAGATGTTTGTGCTGGTGTGGTAGCCCACGCCTGTAATCCCAGCACTTGGGTGCAGTCCCAGCTACTCCAGAGGCTGAGGCAGGAGAATGGTGTTGAACCTGGGAGGCAGAGCTTGCAGTGATCGTGATCGCCACTGCACTCCAGCCTGGGCAACAGAGAAGACTCTGTCCTGCAAAAAAAAAAAAAAAAAAAAACCACTAGATGTTTGCTGGGTGCGGTGGTCCACGCCTGTAATCCTAGCACTTTGGGAGGCTGGAGGCGTGGTATCACAAGGTCAGGAGTTCAAGATCAGCCTGGCCAAGATGGCGAACTTCTCTCTACTAAAAATACAAAAATTACCTCGGTGTGATGGGGGGCGCCTGTAATCCCAGCTACTCAGGACTGAGCAGGAGAATTGCTTGAACCCAGGAGGCGAGTTGGCAGGTGAGCCGAGATCATGCCACTGCACTCTAGCCTGGGTGATAGAGCAAGACTCCATCTGAAAAACAAAAAACTAGATGTTTTATTGTTTTCTTATGGCTTGAATGGCTGTTGGTTTAACCTGTTTTGCTAAAAGATTGTGCTTTGGACATAAAAATATAGAACTTGATTGGCCTTTTTTTTTTCTTTCCTAATCATTAGAGTAGATCCAAATGCACTATCAAAAGAAAAGATTTGGCACTGTTTCCAGGCTTCCCTCAACTCCCCTGGGTGTCAAGATGGCCTCCACCCAGGGAGGTTCCTCAGTTTTTATAAAATAAAGTCTAACCTACCCCAGCTTCACTGTTAAGACATTTGGGTCCTTATTTATTTGACAATATAGATGAGCTGGGAAGCATGTCAGTATCTTTTGTTGCTTAGTACCTTTCCAAAGCTCAGCTAAAAGAAGTGGTATTCAAGAAGCGTTCCATGAGGGATGTGCTAGTCAGTCCACCCATTCTTCGGGATCGATAGTTCTTAACCGTGGTGGAACATTGAAGTCAACTGGGAAGCTTTAAAAAATATACATGCCAGGGTCTCCTTCTGAAGAATTCTAATTTAATTGGTCCAGGGTATCCAGATAATGTAAAAGACTCTCTGGTGACGCTTGAGAATTATCTGGACTGAAGAGCATTAAAAAAGTGGAGGCCTCCCTTTTTTGGGGGGATAATCCAAATGTGATTATCCCAGGATGGGACTCAGGCATCAGTAACTTTTAAAAAATGTCCTGGTAATACCAG